AAACAAGTGAAACTCACAAGAACAGTGTAACTTTGGTAACCACTACCTTGTTTACCTCTGACTATAAAAATAAAGGCTCAGCTTGCCTCGGGATCTTTTCTCTGTGGCCTCAGCCAGGCACAGGAAGATCCACGGAGACTAAAGAGAGCTAGAGAGTTCTGAACGCAGTCTCCATGTAAAACATTCTTCACCGACTCCGTCCACACCTTTGGGAACCCCTGGACCCCGGCAATTTGGGAAGCATTTCTTAAGTACTGTGTGCCCACATCCCGTGCTGGGAGTTGGGGATAAAAATTCTTATTTCATATAGATCAGAAGTTCTGATTAGCAGTTGGCATGACTTTGATTAACAAACAGAATTTGTTTGATGATGGTTTTTGTTTTGTTTTTCAAAATATGGGCCCATGGGGATTAAATAACAGAAATATCCTGGGTAGTGAAAAGGCCAGTAACACCAGATACAATGAGTGTAAAGCTGTAAGGTTGGTACAAATTTAAGTTAGGTTTACCTGTTCAACAGAATATGTAGAGGCCTCTTCTCTATGTAAGACCTTGGGCTGAGCACGACAGATGTAGGCGAGACCCACACAGTGCCTGCCTGGATGCCCACAGCCCAATGCAGAGAGAGACATGGAAACAGACTGGCAGGCTGCATTCGGGGAATACTAGGTGCTGCTACACAGGCCTAGCAGAAGACTGTATAGAATCATTATATGTGAAGTGATGCATCAGTTGTTATCCTTACAAACTAGCTTCTGGAATAACTTTTGTTACCTAAAATTCACTCAAAAAATAAAAAACAAAATTTACTCACTCATTCAATAAAATATGTATGTGCCTACTTTGTGCCAGATACCTGGGGCATAGGGAGGAACAAGCAGGAAGCAGTCCCATTCCTCAGAGTCTAGTGTGGGGAGCCGATATAGGGTTAAGCCTCTGTATGTAAAGTACTTTGCATACAAGCTCTAACACAATTCTCATAGCTATCCAATGAAGACTGTATTAAATCCCCATTTTACAGGTAAAGAAACTAAGGCTTAAGGAGATGAAGTAAGTTGCTTAAGACCAACCATATATTAAGTGATGATGTCAGCATTTGAACTCAGGTCCGATTTACTCTGAAGCTTGTGCTCTTAGTTATTGCATAAATTAGTTTTCAAATGCCTCCAGCCTTCTTTTCCTTAATGACCCGTTTATTTTTTAAAAATGTAGAGATGACCTATTCCATTCAAGCCTCCTCCTAAGCAGATGAATGCTGCATAGTCCCTGCCCTCAAGGAGCTCACAGGGGAGAGAGGGAAACAGATGACTTAGATGTGTAGGAAAGAAGACTCAAAGGTAGGCAGAGTCGGCTTTTTTGTGGATGTGTGTTGGAGGTTGTCAGGGAAAGCTGCCTAAGGGGTGTGATGGCTGCTGCTGCAGAGAAGATCTGTGCAGTGTTTGAAGGCTGAGTTACCAACCTGAGAACACTAACCACTGGTCATTACAGGACCAGAGCTCAGGAATGTCCTTCCATCTGATTTAGGTGTGGCCTCATTCTCAACTTGTCTGTGAGCTTTAGCTCTAAGATTAAAATACTGGGATTAAGACAGCCAAACTGCTGGGGGAGATTTGAGTTGCCATGACAACAGCTCCTACCAAGGGACAGTCTGCTGGCTAGAGGGGAGAAGGGAAAGGAGAGGGTGCCCTCTGTGGCTCCCTTTCTCCCACACACCTCATGGTCCCTTGGCAAGGTTCTTTGGTGAACCCTGAGGTCCCGCTGGGCAGCTGATAGTTAAATACAAAGTTGCAGACTTTAACCCTTGAATGGATTGATGTGCTCTCATCACTTCTGCACCCCTGAAAGCTCACCGGTGCTCTTAATGTCCCCACATTACAGGCGAGCAAAGAAGGGTGACACAGCTAGGAAGTGATGAAGTTGGAGCTGGACTAATCCACGTCAGTCTGACTACAGTATACACGGATGCCCTATCTCCACCCCTCCCAACACCCAGTTCCACTGCTGCCAACAATTAGCTATGTGCCTGGGGCAGCTCACTTCCTTCTCGGGGCCTGAACTTGTTGTCTATGAAATAGAGAGGCAAAAATGGATGAAGAGAACTCTAAGTCTCTCCAGCTCTGAGTCTAATGAATCCACTCACTTCAAATGTCATTTCTGAAGTTCATTTCCAGATGCTTCACAAAATAGCTAGCTTCCTGTCCTGACACCCTCAGCCCCCATTTCTTTATTTACCAAAGAAGACCTTGGCCCTGTTCCCAAGCTTCTTAATTCTGTCCCTCTTCCCCTCCTTTTTAACGAACACTTCCAGGCTCTTTGGAAATCCCAGACCTCCAGCCTCATCCATAAGCACTACAGTATGTGTATCCAGCAGATAAGGACTGCTTTTCCACCCTTCTTCTGGGCTATCTGCCCTTCCTTGTGGCACCTCTTCCCCCACCTTTTCTAAAAGTCACCCTGCCAAAGCATTCCTGAGTGGGAAAGCCTGTCCCAGGCCCCGTGTGCATGGGCAGGGGTCATGTGGTCTTTAGGAGCCCCTGCTGGGGGCTAGGCCAGTACTGGCCATGAGGACACAGGGATGAATGGAACATGCCCAGCTCTCACTCAGTTCCAGTCAAAAGGGTCCTTACACATCTGCAACCCCCCCGCCACCAAACATCATACATTTTCTTAGGTCACCCTTATTGGAGCCAGTGGAGGGACATCTCCATTCTCATGTACCCCAAACCCCTCAAGATCTCTCCCCAGCCCACAACCCTGACCTTTTCTATTGTTTCCTATCTCAGTTGTCTGAGCCCAAAACTCCGGCAGTAATCTTACACTCTGCTTCTAATCTCAAACCCCCCCCACCCCAAACACACAAATAATCAGTGACCAAATCCTGGTGATTCTAAATGTTTGGTCAGTTCCATGGCACCCTGACCCCCTCAAATGACCTCCCCCAACCCAGTCTCTACTCTGAAAACAGAGTATAGTTTTTCTTAAGTGCAAATCTGATCTGTCTCCTCCTGCATTAAACATTTCAGTGACCCTACATTGCCTTCCCAATAAACTCTAGACTCCTTAACAAGGTCTACTAGGCCCTTTGCAGGGCTGGCAATAGGCCACGGGAACTGCTTGCTACTTCCCCACCCCCGCCCGACCAGAGCAAGCTGGGCCCCCTTGCCAGCAGGATTCACTCATTCCCCACACTCCCTTCACTCAGTCCACTCATCCTTCAAGTTAATTCCTCCAGGAATCTTTCTAGACGGGTTGTCTTCTTGTGATCCCAGAGGGCCCTGTACTTCCGCAGTCTGGTAATTACCTATCTTGTAATTCCCTTTATCATCTGTACCCGCATTAGGCTGTGAGGTTCCTAATGGAAGACAATCCCTGATTCATCTTTTAGCACCAGTTCCTACTACAGTGCTCCTCATACCGGGATGCTCTATAAATGTCTGTTGAATTGAAGGGAGCTTCTGAGGCACTGATTTATAGGAGCAGCTGGTATTCTGATAAAGGCCAGTTTTGCCCTACCTGGCATCATGCACATGCTGGCTCCATCCCCTGTCTGGTAATTCATTCAGACATTTACTGAGCACCTAGGGCAGCCCTGCCACTGAGCAGGTGACTTTGTCAACAGCCAACAACAATGACGTTAACATCACCAGATGGGAAAGAGCCAGTCTCCCCACCCCTGGATCTGCTTTCCCTTCCCATAAACCTTCAGATGGCACCTCGCCCAGGAGAGATTGGAATGCTCTCCTCCTAGAGTGCCTGGGCCTTTTCCAGATCCTCCCCCAAACTCTCCTTACCCACGCCCTGGGAGTGGGCAGATGGACTAAGGACCCAGCCAGAGGCAGGAGGTCTGGGGGGAGGGGGAGGGTAGGGGGAGGAAGTGGTGGTGAGGGACTGAAACACTGTCAGCCTGAGGCTGGGTCTGCTTCTCCCAGCAGCACAGGGATGGGGGCAGGGGAAAGGGGGAGACAGCCAAGAGCGGTAGACTAGGACCAGCCAGGGGACAGAGAGGACACACAAAAAGCAGGTAAAACAAAGAGAAGAGAAGGAGACAAAGCAAGGCAGCCAAGCGGGAAAGAGGGCAAAGAGGAGAGCCTGGACTGAGCCAGAATGGGATGGAGACCGCGGTGTGGGGGGAGAGGCGGGGAGAGAAAAGCAGGAGGAACAGTCAGGAGAAGAGCGCGCCCAGCCAGAGGTGGAGATGGCGCTCCGGGAGCAGACGGAGCGGGGGGGTCTGGGCGCGGACCCCAGAAGGAGTGAAAGAAGGGACAGGCACACCTCAGGCTGAGCACTCACGTTTGGCTGGTCCCCGAGAGGCACGCAGGGGGCCAGCAGGGAGCGGGGCGTCGAGGTCAGGCTCATTATCCCGGCTTTGCAAGCAGCTGGCACTGCGCAGCCTGGCCGCCGCTCCTGCAACCGGCCCAGCCCGCCACCTGCGAGGTACCTGTAGCTGGCGGAAATGCACCCGCTCCCCGCCCTGGGGTGGGGGAGGCTGGCCCCAGGGTGTGGTTAAAACCCCGGGTTGGCCTGGACTGGGGCCTGGCTTGCGGTGAGACCTTAGGTTTGTCATTGCCCGGTCTCTCACCGAGGTGTTACCCGACAGCCAAATGGGGGAGGCAGAGGGAACTGACATTGAAAGCAGGAGACCTTCTACTCACTACAGTTCTAGGGGGTGAAGGACCACCAACACCCATTTTACAGATGGGAAGAGTGAGGCTCCCAGGAGATAGGGTGGCCAGTGTGGACTATGCATCCACCTGAGATCAGCTGCTAAAAGTACAAAGCATGACCTTGGAAGGAAAGAACTCAGATACCTGTTGAGTGGGTTATTTTGCTTGTTAAAACGGTGACAATTACTAAAGGAAACCGCAACTAAAATGGAGTCCCTACCGCCTGTAGGGGGAGCTCTCAAGCTTTACTACTCGTGATCAATTACTCCCAAACGGGGAGAAATGGATACCTTGCGTCTCCAGCTGGAAGATGTTTTCTAGTTTATTAGCCCAGTAAGAGGAAGGGAGGTTTTCTCCTTGCCTGGCAATAGCTCGGCCAATAAGAGACTGTCACAACTTAGCGAATGAAAAGCCACTACGTTTTGAACTCCCAGTTCCCTCCAATGGACTCCTTGTAACACCCTCCTCACTGCCCCCTTTCCTATTAAAAGTGTGCACTCAAAGGCGAAAGCTGTGGGTACTTCCCTGACTCATTCTGGGCGGGGAAACAGTCTTCCCTGAAAATGTCTGGCTATAGGCTAAATTCAAATAGGTCTGGGGGCAAAATATCCACTTTTTTTCATGGTCAAAACCAGCAACAAGCCCTGGCTGGTTTGGCTCAGTGGATAGAGCGTCGGCCTGCAGACTGAGAGACCCCGAGTAAGATTACGGTCTGGGGCGCATGCCTGGGTTGTGGGCTCGGTCCCCATTGCGGGGAGGGGGTGAGAGGGTGCGTGCTGAAGGCAGCCGATTGGGGATTCTGTTTCCTCATTGATGTTTCTGTCACTCTCTCCCTCTCCCTTTCTCTCTGAAATCAATAAAAGTATATTTTTTAAAAAATTTTTACATTTAAAATGGACCTGGGTTGGTAGTGCCCTCAGATGCCTGACAAAGAAAATAAAAACCCTTCCTGTAGGCAAGGGCAGAGACTCCACACGAGTCCAACAAACTCAAGCTCACAACCTAAAGTCACAAACCACAAAAGGACACAAAGTACCATGAGCAAGAGTCAACAGATCCACACCACCTCAGATACTGAGATTACTGG